GGTTTATTACCCTTTTATTTTTACCGTTATGTTTTCTTAATCGGTTAATCTTAAAATTATTTTTCATTTTAAAATTAATCATGTTTGATCATTTTATTTTTCATCTTAGAATTAATCATGTTTGATCATTTTATTCTTCATCTTAAACTTAATCTGGTTTGATATTTTTTCATCTTAAAATTAATTATGTTTAATAAATTAATCATGTTTGCATCTTAAAGTTAATCATATTTGGTCATCTTACATTTGATCATGTTTGATATCCAATATCTATCTTAAATTTCATCATCGTTGATCTTTTTTTTTACATATTTTGTGCTTTTCTGGTGTGTTAGCTGTTGATTCTTCAATTGCACTTAATCGCAATTCTGCTGTTCCTGTTTTATTCTGCTGCTCATTGAAAGTGACCTATGTGTCCACAGGGAGGACTGCTGACATTTTTAAGCTCAGGGTTCGGTTGATACTGTTGGTTGTTTAGGATGAACTCCATTTGAAATCAGGGAGGAAATGTTGGATAAAAAGCTGATTTTCACCTTCACTTTTTAATAGTATTGTTTTTTTTTTTTTTTTTCAAACAGAGTTCATTAGCCTTATTTTCATTTAACGTGGTAAATATAGTATTGGATGCATGGAAGATGATTTTGTCTGGGAACCATCTGGTGTTATTAACCGGCCCCTGCCGCAAGGAAAGTCGGCATTGTAAGTCTGCAGTTCTGTTATCAAAACAACCTCCCTATTGATGGAGTGTTTCTCTGAACCTGGGAAGATTTACTGTCTGTGAAGGAGTGGGTGTGGTGATCTTTTAATGTGTGTGTGTTTTGTCATATGTCATCTGTGAATAAAGCCTTTTGATGGGCCCCCGCTCGTCGAGAGACTAAACCGACCTCCCTCAACTGGTGTGTTTCTTTAATCTCTCCGGTTTTGCAAAATCTGACTATTGATTATTTGTGTTTATTGGTAAATGGTATTAATAACAATAATATCTCTAACCCCTCTTGTGTGTTGTGGACTTTCTTTGAGGTACGCCTGGATTGAATAAATAAAAATACCCAACACTGGTGTGGCAAGTAATTTAAGCTCCTTTTCTAATAGCACTACTCGGCCAATAATGGCACGATACAGCTCGGGTTAACACAGCTCACTTCTAGGCTTTTGAAGGATAAACCGATGTGACCAGATATTCAGTTCAGTGCGTGATGGTCATCACGCTGCATCAGTAGCATCTTCCTCAATAGATAAGAAATAGCCATGAATTCCTTGTGTTGTGTGACCAAAAATAAATAAATAAATAAAAATAAACAGGCTGATTCAACGTCAAGTTAACAATCTTTATTTTCCCAGTGGTTTAAGACTACTGACACTGCCTCCTGCTAGGATTACTGACTGGACTAATTAGCAGTTCAGCAAAGGTGTAGGAGGTGACCAAACCAATAATATAGATAAGAGTAATTGTTAGTCCACCCTTACACTTTCCCTAGCTGCCTTAAGACAACAAAAAGCTAGTTGGGGCAGACTAACAAATTACAAAAGAAATAAACAAACAAAACAACCAAACAAGGAGAGTAGGTAGCAATGGATTACTGTAAAAACAGAAATACACATTTACAATCGAGCCATAAAATGTACCAATGTTGAACATATCCACTAAAAACAAACTTAAAACACTGTACCTCTGTCTTGCAAACACCTCACACACTGCTCCCTTCAGTCAGCGTCTCATCTGGCCATCTGACCTTAAAACTCTGTGACCCTTTTATGTCCCTCGGCTTTGCTAGGAGTAAGATGTATTTTGAGGGAGTAATGAAAGATGTCTGTGAATGAAACCCAAACCAAATTAAAACTCTTAGAAGGAAGTTTATTAACAAAACAGCGCTCTGGGCTGAAATAAGGAATAAGAAACAAAAAGGTCATCCAAATACTGGGAATTAATAAACGAAAGGGTCTCTAATAACTAAAATTAATTCTAATAAACAAAAAGCGCAGTGCAAAAGGCTGGGAATAAAACTACGCAAATAAACACCAAAAGGCTGCACCAAAAGGGTGAGCTAAGTCTCTCATGAATTGAGGACACACAAACTACTATTAACTCAAACAAATACCACTCAGGTAACAAAACAAAACCACTCAGGTATCAAGGCGAAAACCACTTGGGTAACGAAGCTAAGACTTTAACGTCTTCACCGAGGAGAGAGAGAAGTGCCAACACCTCCGCATCAATGCTCATCTGAAAATATGTCCTCGAACATCTCTAGCAGCTCCCTTTTAACAGGGAGACTTAGTGATTACAATAGCCGGCAGGTGTGCAGGCAGCATACTGAGGCCATCTAGTGGCCAAGAACAGACAGCGTCTGTTACACCCCCTCCCTCAAAACAACACCTAACAAGGAACAAACAATATTATGTGACTGAAGTTGTTGCAACAGAAATAAACTATTGAGAGCTCCCACTAACTACGGAAAAGGAAACTAACCAACTGAACCTAGTCTTCATGGAGACGGAAAGGTGGGTGGCTTAAACACTAGCCCAGCAAGAGGGAACAATGTCTCCCCCTCCCGGAGTGATCCCGAGAAGGAAGGAAGTAACCCTCCAACACAGACCTCTATGTCCTCCAACACTACCAAAAATAACAAACGGAACTCCCCCCAAAGGAGTGGAGTTCATGTGCCTACAAGAGAGCCTCAAGTGTTAAAACTGCGTGAAAGGGCATCTGCCATGACGTTCTCAGTCCCCTTTTTGTGATGGATCTCCAGGGCGAATCCTTGTAGGAGGAGGGCCCATCTCATCAGATGTTGATTTTGGTTGTACATGCGGTCAAGGAAGATCAGCGGATTGTGATCTGTAAACACAATGGTGGTGAATCTACTGATGCCAACATAAACATTAAAATGTTGCAAGGACCATATCAGGGCTAAAGTCTCCTTCTCAACGGTGGAATAGTGTTGTTGTCCCAGGTTGAACTTTCTAGAAAAGTAGCAGTTTCTGTTTCTCTGTTAGTACCCTAACCCAGCTCCAGCATCAGAGGCATCGACCTCTAGCTTAAAAGGTTGAGAAAGGTCAGGAGCTGCAAGAACTGGAGCACAACACGGCAGATCACACAAAGCAAGAAAAACGTGGTTACAATCTGAGGTCCAAGAAAATGGGACGTTAGTACTTAACATGTCGGTAAGTGGTTTGGCAACAGTGGAAAAGTTACGGCAAAAGCAACGGTAGTGACCGGTCATGCCCAAAAATCGTCTGAGTTCCCTACGGGTGGTCGGTGGCTGAAACGAAACAATGGCCTGTACTTTATCAGACAGCGCCCTCACCTGGCCTTGACCCACCTCTTTTCAAACAGAACTGACTTGTTATGGGCGTATTCAACGTCTGACTGATTTACCTTTTTCAGAACGGAACCGTTGCCAGTAGGCTTCTGGTACAAGTTCATTTGCATTCAAGACTGTTGATTTTACTTTGTCATAGCTAAAACCGTCTGTTAGAGACAAAGCAGACACCACCTGAAGTGTCTGCTTCGACACAGTGACAGCTGTCTTACCTGTTAACCTACAGTTCAGAAGTAGAGGCCAAACCTTGCGAGGCCACTGCAGAGTCGTGGCAATCTGCTCGAAAGCGAGGAAATACCCATCCAATTCAGTCTCTCTGAACGGCGGCAGGCGAGTGATGCATTTGCTGACATCAAAGTGAGGTGTAAGCAACGTAGGACCAGGCTGAGTCACTGCTTCCGGTCGGTCATCCCCGAGGGGTGACGAAACTGTGGCGTCTGAACCTTCGGCGGGTTGAAACAAAGTCCTAACAGTGGCAGGATTGAGTTTCCTGCTCTATAAAGTGAGTTCAACTTCTTGGAATCGGATCTCAGCGTCCAATCTTTTCACATCCAGCTTATGTTGTAATTTCCTTTCAAGAGCACGTTCCTCGGCCCCTATGTGCAGACGAGCCAGTCTTAGTTTCAGGCGAGCACCGTTTAGCGGAGAAGGAGGGCTCTGACGAGGCAAAGATGCCTCAGAGGAGCAGGCTTCCTTCGGTTTCTCTATTTTCTCCTCTTCCTCATGGGTCACCGGCGGTGACACATGGCGTGACACTGGTTCAGAAGGCGGCAGAAGGATCTCCTGGGAAACCAGGTAATCCAGGATGAACTGACGTAGGGCGTCTTTGGTCAGCTGCTTAGGGACGAGCAGACTGAATTGGGCGGCAACCTGCTGCAGGTCAGATTTCCTACAACTCTCCAGCAGCCGGCGCGAGGGAACCTCCACAAATGCCTGTACGTCAAAGGATGCCATGGCCTCTGCTTTGCCTCTAAGAGAAATAACAAGGTTAGTCCCAAACACAGTACAAGTGGAAATGAAAAACGGGTTATAGGTGTAATAAATAACAAAATATCCCGGACGAGCCCCCACTCTTTTACGTCTCTCGGCTTCGCTAGGAGTAAGATGTAATTTTGAGGGAGTAAAGAAAGATGTCTGAATGAAACCCAAACCAAATTAAAACTCTTAGAAGAGAGTTTGGTGATGTGACATTCACAAACAAATCAAACCTTTTGATTGAGTTTCCAAAGCGAGCGATGAGAGCCGAGTCCTTGTAGAGAACTGTTGTCTTGTCCTCAGATGACTCAGTTATCTTGTTCTTTATTTGTTGTAAGGTAACAGAACCCACTTGAATTGTGGTGGTTCATCTGAAGTGGTTTATTCTTGTAAAACATTAGTGCACAAATAAATAAATACAAAAAATGGGTGAATTCTCCTTGATTGACAGCTTCCTCTTTTGGATTTGCAACTCTACTGGTCAACTTTCTTGGCTCCAGTAAATTTTTCATTTTCCTGTAGAGGCCTGGGGAGGGACTTAGGGGAAAATTTAAATTGCTAAAGATTCCCTTTTTAGTATCATAGAACAGGGTCCGATAGCAAAATTGAGAGCAAATTGCCACAATAAAATGTCAGTTAACATCATGCATTCTCACCATTTTTCCACCGCATTAAATGTGTATGTGTGTGTGTGTGTGTGTGTGTGTCTGTGTGTGTGTGGGGTGGGGACATTAAATTCCAGGCACTGTGGATATCTTTGAATCTCTGACACGTTGTTCTAAAATATGAAAATTGGGGGAGTGATACTCTTTTAACGTCATAATAGATGTAACCAAAGATTGGTGGTTGATGGTACTTTGTGATGGGTAACCAGCTGATGCTCAATAGATGATTTATAAACCCGTAAAAACACACCAACACCCACAAGCATCCACATGAGGAATGGAGATTCAGGCTATTTTCATTGGTTTGAGTCGAGTTATGTTTTTTTTGGACGTAACACCAGTTGTCTTTGGTGTTTTCATGGATGGTTTTAAAAACAGGATTGAGTCTACAGAGGCTCTGACTGCTGCTGGCATTCCTCTTGAGGCATCATCGAACAAATGTAACCAGCAGGGCACCCCTCGCTCCCCTGCGTTCTCATTGGATGGTGACTTTGTTATTGGAGGTGCTTTCTATATTCATAACACAATGCTAACAGGGATTTATAACTACACAACCAAGCCGGAGCCTCCTAAATGCTCTGGGAGGTTAGTATGAGGGGAGGAGGATTTTTAAGGTGTTAGATATGTATTGGATATGATGTGAATTGATGCAGTTTGGTATTACTCATGTATCTACTTAGGATTTTTTAAGCTGGTTTTATGTGAAGACAAATAATATATGACTTGAACACTACCCAATTTACAGAATGCATGCATGTTACAATTGTGTGTTATTGTTCATAAACAATCAGACCATCTGTTATTTAGTTAACCACTTTTCAGTAAAGCATTTTTCAAAATGTTAACAACTCTTGAACTGAAGTATCAGCTTTTTATGATTTACCCGTTTCATATTTCAATGGTTTAGTGTTCATTGATGAAATAATTTCTAACATTTTTTGCAGTTTTTTATTGTTCTGTAAACCCATACTACCACTGTCCTATTTATGTGCAGCTTTAACACTCGGGAGCTGCGTTTTTCTCGTGCAATGATCTTTGGCATAGAGGAAATCAACAACAGCACAGAGCTGCTGCCAGGCATAAAACTTGGATATCAGATCTATGATGTTTGCTCCTCAGTGTTGATTGCTTCTCATGCTGCATTTGAGCTGTTAAACCGCCAGGACCCTGTATTTTACAAAGACGGCAATTGTTCTAATTCTGGTGCAGTGATGGCTGTTGTTGGAGCTTCTGGATCCACGCCATCCATCAGCCTGTCACGCATCATTGGGTCCTTCAACATTCCTCAAGTAAGTAATAATCAGGGCTGCCAACTTTTGAACATTTAAAAGAGTGAGACGGGGTCATGGGGTTGGGAGCGGACTATTCGCCGACCGTTTAGAGTGGGGGGTTGAATAATATTGAGACTGTTTGTGCTCTACATTTTATTTATTTATTTCCACTCTGTATGGAAGAGGATTAGCATCACTGACAAGAAAAAAAACATTAAAAGAAAGAATTCCTACATTTTTCTCAGAACTCTGACTTTTAATCTCGGAATTCTGACAAGTAATTCTGGGGAATAGGTCAGAATTCTCTTTCTTTTCTTTTTTTTAATTTTCAGTGGCCCTACTCCTCTTCTGTACATCTGACTTTACAGAGGAAACTGACCTTTGTTTAAAACAAATTTTCTTTTCGTGAGGAAATTTTATCATCCAACTCTCCTGAACTTCTTCACACTATCTATCTATCTATCTATCTATCTATCTATCTATAAGCAGTAAAGAGTTACAGGAACTTTTAATTACAATTAATGTAAATGTTTTACATTTCCATCTAGGGGTGGGCAATATCATGTCATTCATAATATTATGTTTATGTTTATTCATTTCGCAGACGCTTTTATCCAAAGCGACGTACAAGTTTTTTTTTTGTTCCTTTTTTTTTTTTTTATAACCTGTAGGGCATGTTGTGATGTGTGGGGGAAACCGGAGTACCCGGAGGAAACCCACGCATGCATGGGGAGAACACGCAACTCCACGCAGAAAGGCGAGTTTTGAACCTGCGACCTTCGTGCTGCGAGGCAACAGTGCTAACCACTGCGCCACCTGTTATTATTTCCTGTCAAGAGAAACAATCATGTTAAGCTAACTTCATGATGTAATTGCATCCACTAAACAAAGGATTGTGTTAATTTGGGTCATCAGCATGAAGTTATCAAAGCAAACATGGCTGGAATCAGTTTTACCTGTAATCTGTTTCTCTACGTGTGTGTGCTGCTGTAATGAGTGGATGTCCCCACTGTGGGAATAATACAATCTACTCTATTCTATTAATTCATGTCAGCCAGCAGAAAAATAAACGTTTGAGGAATTTTGACCTTTCCAAGCTTCCGTACAAGTAACCTGGCTATAGAGGAGGGGTTCGTCTCACAAACGAGAAACACATACTGGTGAAGCGGTGAATTAAAATACTAGGATTCCTAATGTTTTAATTCACTGCGTCACCAACTAATGTAGGAGAGGGAACGTGTGAGAGTCACCACGGTAGGAAGCCCAGCTGGCTGTGAGCGAGAGTAGCGAGCGATCTGTGGCTGATGTGTGAAAACAGAAAAAAAAAACATTTGGGACTGAAGCTCCGTCAACATCGGCAGGCGACGCGGCTGCATTTCTAAATAAAGCATGTCATTTTGGCGGCGAGCGCAGCCGCAACTCACGGTTCTGGGAGAAAGAACCGGGCATGCCCATCCCATCAACAGCAGGTGGAGCTCACTGCTCCGCCCATCTCACAACCAGAGTGGAAAAAAGCGTATAGGCTTGGATTATACAGATGGGATTCTGCGTGAAATAACACCAGTTAAATTATTACTTAAGTGTTGTTTGTGTGCATGTTGTTCAGTAGCTAATGCTATAATTAATATCATCTGGTTTTTTTCGTAAGCCCTACACACTGTGTGTGATGCACATTTGGGGAGCGCAGGCGCTGGTTTAGCGTGAGAGATTGGAGGTGTGGCATGAGAGCGTGTGAAGAGGGTCAAATGCGTGCGTCTCACGCTCAGTGCGTGAGAGTTGGCAGCCCTGGTAAACTGGAAAAAAAATCAATTCTTAACAGTACAGATCTTTAACTTTTTTTCTTTCCTACAGGTCAGCCACTCTGCCACGTGTGCCTGTCTGTCAGATAAGCAGCAGTACCCATCTTTTTTCAGAACAGTTCCCAGTGACCAGTTCCAGGCTGATGCACTGGCCAAGCTGGTGAAACACTTTGGCTGGACTTGGATAGGAGCTGTCCACTCAGACTCAGATTATGGAAATTATGGGATGGCCTCTTTTCTTGCTGCAGCACAGAGAGAGGGAATCTGTGTGGAATATTCTGTATCCTTCTTTCGAACCGACTCGCGTAGCAAGATCAAGGCAGCAGCTGATGTTATCCGCAGGTTTCTACATGAACTATTTTAATTGTATTTCCGGAATAGACGGCAAGCTCAGTAATAAACTTTATTTTCTAACCTGGGAAAAGATAATAGAATAATTCACAGTGAATTCCTGTAAAAATGCTCTAAAATCTTATCTTGTTTAGGGCTGTTTGAATGACAGTGTTGAGAGATTAACAATAACACCTAATCTGGATGGAACAAGTTCATGTTTACTGTCAAAACCTTCAGAGCATTTCATGCTGATTCCATTTTTTCCATCCTATGTACACATACACAGCCAAGAACAAAAGAGCAAAACATGGACAAAAAATAATAATCTTTAAATGGCAACAGCTTTAGCTTTATGTGCAGAGTACCCTAAACCTTGGACCAGCGCTCACATGCAGACTCCATATAAAATTAATTCATTGGTTATATAGCATGCTGGGATTGATATATTTGTCTTTTATGTGATTGTTTGATTTTTACTATTGTTTTATGTTTTCAATGTTTACTTTTGTTCCAAACTGATATTTGACCAACATTTAGTCTCTTTCCAGAGTATTTCTCTTCTCCGTTGGCACCATCTAGTGGCTGACAAGCATATCACACAAAAACTCTGCTGCTCTGTTTGTTTAAGATGGCGACTTCACGTTTCTGTTTATAAATGTGCTTCTGTAGCCGACAAACAGAGCTAAAACACGTTGTTTTACGAATATTATTTGTCATGTCGTGTTCTCATATATTTATATTTTAGAGACTTACTTGTCCGTGAAAAGTTCATCAACTCTGCATCAGCTGCGGTATTCCTTAAATTTGAAGCAAGTAAGCCGTAGTCTAACACTGTTGGTTCGTTCTGGTCGGCGCTCAGTTTCCTATTGCACAGAGCTCTGTGGGGCAGGGGGCCGTGCTTAGCAAGAAAATGAAAAATAAATTTAAAAAAGACGCATTGCTTACATTATATCACAGAACATGATAAGATAGTCACTTTAATGGATTTCTGAAAAATCATGCACGATTCCTGAAAAGAGAAAACTCTGGAAAGCAGCTTTAAATGAGTACCAAAAGCCAAACTAAGTTCTTACATTTGTAAAATGAAATCACCTTTACTAAAGACCCAAAACATTAATTCTAACACAAAATGTATCCATTTAAAGTTTTATGGATTTAAAGGTCTGCAATTGTTTTTCTCTGCAGGTCAACAGCGACGGTTGTTGTGTCATTTACAGCCAGTGGAGATATGATAGTTCTCCTAGAAGACCTGGCTAAGGATCCTCCACCACCTCGTCAGTGGATAGGAAGTGAGGGTTGGGTGTCTGATCTACACCTGATGATCTACACTTTCTGTGCAGGAGCCATTGGAGTTACCGCTCCGAAATCTGTCATCCCAGGTCTGAGAAATTTCCTACTGGATCTTTCTCACACTGAAGTAGCTGCCTCCTCAGTGCTTACAGAGTTTTGGGAGGATGCTTTCAACTGCACCATTACAAAAAGTGAGAAGTTCTTCACAAGAATTTGGATAACTGATATTGACTGCTTTTGTTTTTAGAGTATTTTGAAGACAACATTGTTGTACGGTTAAAGCTACATTAGACAATCAGGAAAACAAGGTAGCCTAAAACGTTTTTTTCATGCCTCTTAACAACCTAGTATAGTAGAAATATATTGGAGATGGAATGACAGCCAGTGGGAGGGGTTCTGAGACGGTATAGATTTTATGTTGCAACTTAAAGTATTTAAAGCAGATTTGTGATATAAAATGTTTATAACAACTTTGTTTTTGATGAATTTAGTTGCATCCCCACATATGACAGTATGTGATGGAACTGAAGATATAAAGTCACTCAAAAGCCCGTACACTGATACATCACAATTGAGAGGTACAAACATGGTGTACAAGGCTGTCTATGCAATAGCTCATGCTATTCACAATGCAGTGTGTCACGAAACTAATTTGAATGTTCAGTGTGACAAAACAACCAAGCTGGAGGCAAAGCAGGTCAGTCTAAATAATCACACACACACACACACACACACACACACACACACACACACACACACACACACACACACACACACACACACACACACACACAGACAGACAGAGAGAGAGAAAAATGATTTTTATTGTATATTTTATGTTGCAATTTTATGTTTTCACAAGGTTTTGACCGAACTACAGAAAGTCAACTTTTCCCGTAACGGTTATCCTGTATCATTTGATGCTAACGGAGATCCTGTAGCTTTTTATGAGCTGGTCAACTGGCAGAAGAGTGAGAGTGGAGTTATTGAGCCGGTAACAGTAGGATACTATGATGCATCACTGCCGAAAGGACAGGAGTTTCACATCAGCAGGAACATAACCTGGGTTGAAGGCAGCTCACAAGTAAGGATTAATTAAAAAAATGAACCAGGGAAGTTTTAAGTCACCTTATTATTCTTTCTATTTTGTTTTCCATTCAAGATCCCAGTATCAGTGTGCTCTGAGAGTTGTCCACCAGGAACTCATAAAGTCTTGCAGAAAGGAAAACCCATCTGCTGCTATGATTGTACACCATGTCCTGAAGGAGAGATTAGTAACGTCACTGGTAGAATCACACTCTTTCCATCCATTTTTTCACTATTAAATCAGTGACAACAATTGTTTCTGCTTTATTTTTCAGATTCTCCAGACTGTTTCCCGTGTCCCAGTGAATTGTGGCCTAATGCACGAAGAGACGCTTGTTTCCCCAAACCTGTGGAGTTTCTTTCCTATGATGAAGTCCTGGCAATCATCCTGGCTGCATTCTCTGTTAGTGGGGCCTGTCTGGCCATCATAACAGCAGCTATTTTCTTTCATCACAGAACAACTCCAATTGTCAGAGCCAACAACTCTGAGCTGAGCTTCCTGCTGCTCTTCTCTCTGACTCTGTGTTTCTTATGTTCATTAACTTTCATCGGAGCTCCCTCTGATTGGTCCTGCATGCTGCGACACACAGCGTTTGGTATCACCTTTGTTCTCTGTATCTCCTGTGTTCTTGGCAAAACTGTAGTGGTTGTAGTGGCCTTTAAAGCTACACTTCCAGGTACTAATGCGATGCAATGGTTTGGGCCTCCACAACAAAGAATGACTGTTGTGTTTTTCACATTTATTCAAATTATAATCTGTACTGTGTGGTTGTTACTCAGCCCTCCATTCCCAATGAAGAATCTGAGCACATACAAGGAGAAGATCATCCTGGAATGTGCATTAGGTTCTGCTGTTGGGTTCTGGGCTGTGCTCGGGTACATTGGCCTGCTGGCTGTTTTCTGCTTTGTGTTAGCTGTTCTAGCTCGGAAACTACCTGATAATTTTAATGAAGCCAAGCTGATAACCTTCAGCATGCTGATATTCTGTGCAGTGTGGCTCACCTTCATCCCAGCATATGTCAGCTCTCCTGGAAAATTTACTGTAGCTGTGGAGATATTTGCTATTCTGGCCTCCAGTTTTGGACTGATTCTGTGTATATTTGCTCCAAAGTGTTTCATCATAATATTTCAGCCTGAGAAGAACTCTAAGAAATATTTATTGAACAAGAATTAGATTAGCGCTTCCTTGTCGGTAATGTAGCTTTAGGAAGTATAATGGTCTGCCTTAACAGCTGCCCCTTCACACAGTAACACCGCCAAGGTCGGACGCTTGGTTCAGTATGTTTACATTCCAGGAGAAGAGTCAGAAGAACAGAAGAAGAACGCTTTTGATGGAGTAATCAAAGTACTTTATTTGTGATAAGCTAAACAAAACACACACACACACCAACCCGAACCATCTACATCCATATGCATCCATCATTGAGATAGTCCTGGTAGATTGTAAGAATTTATAATTATAGAAATTAAAGATTCTTAAACGATCCCAACTTTCTCTCTTTCTTGTCTCTCAGTCAATACAAAGTGTTTAAGTAAACTCCCTGATGATAAAAACAACCTCTTCTGATTGATTACTTAGATTGTATAAATATACAAAATCAGGTAATTAAATTATCTAATTACAGTATATAAATATACAAACTTCAAATCACAACATTATGATGAGCTTTGCCTGATATCTGCACAGTTTATTACACTTTGTGCCAATTTTGAGACATATTTGGGATTTTTGTTGAGTGTGAGTTCAGAGAGGAAAGGAAAAAAGCGAGCCTTTTCCTCCATTCAGCTTAGAGCGCTTTTATCTTGAAGGGGGGTGCACATTCCTCACCCTCCAAAGGAGGCGCTGTTTCATCAAAACACCCTAAAGCTGACGTAGCATCCGCGGCCATCTTGGGGCCTACATACGAAGGTATATTTTCCTGTCTTGATACGTTGAAAACTGTCTGTTTTCTTGTTTGTAGCTGTGTTTGTGACACTGTGTGAACATTCTTTAGTAAAATCCGAGATTTTACTCCCCGTCGGGACTCACTCCCTTCGGCGAGGCTACTGATCAGAGCCTGTTTATTTTCTGGTAACCGCGGTAGCATAATAGTTAGCATACCTCGCTAATATTATCAGCTTTAAGCCGTTGTTAGAGACCGCAGACCACATCTGCACACCACGGTGCAGTCAATAAAGTCCCAAATTACCTCGTCGCTGGAGACGTTTGGTCGATCGGGCATTATTTTTGCGCTGGTAGCTCCAGCGAATAGCTAGCATTAGCCGGAGAGCTAACTATTAACCTCGGTTTAGCCTCGGGTACGCGACCCGATAAGCTGTCTAAGCCGCTCCGACGCAGCGATTCTGCGTCCTAAATTCCGCTGGACCTTCCGGTACAAAGTACAGTCGGTTCAGTTCGCGGAGATTCTAGTCTCCGATCCGGTGTGGTAACACTGCGTATTGCTACCGGGAGAAACGCCGAGTGACGGACGGCGCATGCGCGGCGATCCGCCATCTTAGGTAACCCGACACGTCATCTTGGGTAGGTCAAAAGAGAATGTTATTTTTGGCATTTCTAAATGATTTTGCCCAAAATATTCATTCAAAAGCCAAGCTTCCCTGTAACTAATTCTTTAATAAGTCTACAGGTAAGGTTGTTTCAGGAGAAATTAGTAAATTAAAGAACACATTACTAATTTGGAAGATGAGCTCAGAGGAAACAATGCAATTTCCATCACAACTTCAGGCGGCGATGCAAAGCGCTTTCCTACCAATGATGACTGAGATGAGGAACATGATGAACATGATCTGCGCTCTTCAGAAAGACGGCGAGGACGTCAAACAGTTTATGCGTGATTTTCAGGCGACACGGGCAGCAACCCCGTGTTTAGCCGAGACGCCGCCCGATGAGACGAAGATGCTGCAGGCTGATGTTTTCACAGGTTCTGACTCACAGGAAAAAAACAACAACACTTCAAAGGAAAGCAACAACACCTCACCGGTCGTTCCATCCGTGGCGATGTTAGGCGATGCACCCATGGACGACGACCCCGGTAGCGCTATCGCCGTGACTGACAAAGTTTTGCTAGCACCTCTGGTCGTGAGGACGGGGTCTGATAGGCCCGCAGTTGAGTTCACTATAAATCAGGGACATCGCTGTGTCGCGTTACTGGACACAGGTGCGGACATTACGCTCATGAGCGGGGATTTTTACAACAGCATGTACGACAAAAGAGGGGAGGGCCTCTCACCCAACCCCACCCCTCATTTCCGGCCCGATGATTTTCACTGCTTTCGGTGGCGATCCAGGAACCGCGTCTTCGAAGACTGAGGTGAACATCTCGATAGGGGCCATGTCCTTCAAACACCCCGTGTACATCGATGAAAACATGCCCTTTCCCATGCTCATTGGGTTGGACTGTCTCCGGCGCCTGGACGCTAAAATCAGCTACAAGTCCGGGGAACTGTTTGCGCGTGTGAAAAAGCCTAAGCCGTACAATCCGCCGCCTGACAAGGACTTCCACTACTCCGTGGCAAGCCTGTCGGGTGAGGCCGTAGTTACGGGCTCACCACCACGCTCAAAGCCGCCCGGTAAGCCACCTGAAGTTTTGTCCCAGATTGAGAATGTCATAGACCAAGCTGATGCACTCACCAACGAGGTCGAGCGAGACAAACTACGACAACTTCTGCTAAAGTACTCGGATTTTCTTGAGAGGGTGCTCGCTGCAGAACTACAAAGGCGGAGCTGCACCATAAGGTGGAGCTGCACCAGAGTCAGCCCCGCCCATTCACGCAAACTCAGCCTAGCCCACTGACTTCCGTTTTTGTTTTCAACTTTATCGCAAACTGACCTGACCCACATGAATTACGGCTGTTACTAGTTTACAATTGTTAATGCTATGTTCTATGCTCCAATTAAACAAGATAAATATAACTTGCTACATGACAAAGTCTGAATATATCCCGAAATAAAAAGGTTTCTCTTAGCGAATATCTGCCCACAGCCGCTCTAATAAAACTCCTGTACAACAGCATGTACCACCACCATGTGGGTTCTGTTAGTCCAGTGGCAAGGTCGTCGGAGTTAAGTTTTGCTTTCCCCTCAGCTGATGTTGGTTCGATTCTCGGTGGGGTCGGCAACAATCTATTTAGCCAGCTGAAACATTTAATTTGTTCATATTTTAGTTGTAATGTTCATTTTCAGCAAAATATTTATGTCTCTACAAGTTCTTTGAATTTGGTCGTTCCTAAACAGCATTTTAGTTGAAACTCTGCTCACAGATGGACTCACACTGGCTAAATAAACGAATGAATAAATAAAAAAACACATTAGTCATTATATGTTAAACGGCATACCAATAAATTGTTGTAAACATAGTACTGGCAAGTGTAGCTAGAAATGAGGAAAATAGATTATAGGATATTTCCACTGCTGGGAGGCGAACCCGCACAAAACTGCATGTCAACCTGACACCATCACCACTACACCACCATATCTGATAAAAATCAGGTGGCGTTACATTTTATTATGCTATTTGGTGTGTCTTTGGAGATGGGATGTATGGTTTATTGGCGGTGTCTCAGTAGAAGTCATTTCAGAAATAATTTGTCAGAAAATTCACAGAATATCCAGATTTGAGAACCAAAACCAGACCCGCTTCGGGGGAGGAGACCAAATTGAAGCTGAGATGGGAAGAAAATGCATGAATGAGGCCAAAAATGGCTTTGGCGTGTTTCTTATGAGGAAATGACAATATAACATGATTAAAAGTTCCAAAATTTAGATTTTTAATTATATGGAACCTTTACAAAAACTGTTCAATTCACTTCTCAACTCCGTCCTCAATCTTGCATTTTTTAGCTATAACACCCTCTTTGGTTCCAGAATGCTATAAAGCCTGACAACTGGAAGGAATTGGACTGACTCTGATAGAATGGGCGGGGCTGATTCTGGAATGGGCGGGGCTGACTCTGGTGCAGCTCCACCTTCTGGTGCAGCTCCGCCTTTGTGGTTCTGCAGCGAGCACCACTTGATTTTCTTTCACTTGACTCCTTGGACTGTGGTCTGACCACTATCCATGAAGTCCGGATTCCTACAAGGCCAGATGCACCGCCGACCTTTGTGCGGCAATACAAGATTCCCCTGGCGTCCCAAGGACCAGTCCAGGAAATCATTGTCAGCCTCTTGGCTAAAGGGATCATTTGACCCTGCAACAGCACCTACTCGGCTCCGTTGTGGCCGGTACTGAAGCCTAATGGTAAGTGGCGACTGACCAATGACTACCGGCAACTCAACAAACAGGTTCCCTTGTCTAGGTGGCCTATGGCACGCCTGGAGCAGGAGCTTCCACGAGTGAAAGCTGCTAAGTACTTTTCCACACTTGACATTGCGTCCGGATTTTGGACGATTCCCGTCCACGAATCGGACCAACACAAACTTGCCTTCTCCTTTGCCAACCGGCAGTACACCTTCACCCGGTGTCCTTTTGGTTATTCCAACTCACCTGCTGAGTTCAACATCTTCTTGAACAAAGCCTGCCCCGATGCTCGAGAGCGAGGGACCCTCATCTATGTCGACGATATTCTTGTTCGTCAGCGTACATTAGATGACCATCTGTCCGAGCTGGACCATGTCATGGGTCAGCTCGCGACGGCAGGTGCAAAAATCTCTCTCGCCAAAGGACAGTGGTGCAGGTCGCAAGTTCAGTACGTTGGCCTCCTGGTGGGACCACAGGGAGTGCAGCCTCAACTTGGCAGAGTTCAGGGCATTGCCACCATCACCCCTCCGACAAACGTCTCCGAACTTCGGAGCTTCTTGGGGGTCTGCAACTACTCGCGTCAGTTCGTGGAACATTACGCGGACATAGCACGCCCTCTGACTAATCTGTTGAAGAAGGATGTGGCATTCGAGTGGGCAGAGCAGCACCAGCAGGCCATGGATGACCCGAAGGCTGCGATGTGCTCGGCTCCGTGCTTGGCGCTCCCCGACTGTGACAAGGCGTTCCACCTTTAGGTTGGTTTCTCAGCTCACTGTTTGAGTGCTGGTCTCTAGCAAATTCACGACTGCGACAGGCGTGTGGTAGCCTATGCTAGTAAGCTCTTGGCTGGGCCTGAGTTGAAGTACTCAGACTTTGAAAAAGCTTTGCTTTCCACCATGTGGGCAGTTAAGTACTTTGCGAACTACATTGGCGGCCAGAAAATCATCATTGAGACACAGCACCAGCCGGTGACCTTCCTTAACAGTCAGCGCATCAGAGATGGTGTGGTGACCAATTCGCGGTTCGCGTCATGGCTGCTGGCTCTTCAAAGCTTCGACATCGAGGTGCGCTACGCCCAGAACCGACGTAGCCCTCTTGGCATGGATTTGGCTGCGTGCCAACACTGCTCGGACGACGCCATCGCGTCAGTCGTCTACAAATGGGTACACAGGGACCATATCAAACTGCACAAGGGTTCCGCAGGTTTGGCCGATGACAACAACAATCTACCGACTTCAAAAGGGGGGTGAAAAATACGTCCCGTTGGTTCCACAGATTTCTGTCTCTGGTTACACAAATTTGTTTGTTTGTGAGTGTGCCTGGTTGTCTTTCATGTTATACGTCACGTGCAGACTTAGGGTGTGTTGAGACGGACGTGCTGTGGGCTC